AAACGCGGAGGCTTGGGCGCGGAAGGTGCTGTGAGCTGGGACGTACAGCCAGCACCACGCAGACTCAGCTAGAGACAAGCTAGGAAACCTTACTTCCCAGGGTCAGTGTTTATGACAAACCCCTGCTCCATTAGTGGCTTCACCTTAAAAAAATAATTTTAAAAATCCCTTTCAAGAGCCACACCAACAAGCTGGAACCAGGAGCAAGAAAATGTCCCCTCAAGGCTTTTCTTTTTCCTTCTTTTAAAGTCGCGGGTTACACAAACATCACACTTATGTAATTAAAACTCAATTAAAGTCGTTGTGAATAAGAATACAAAGTAGCAGTAACCAATCACAAACCAACACTCGGGCATACATCGCCATCATGAAAGTAGGATTAGCATAAATTCCACCAAAGAGATAAAAAAGAAAATTCCGTTCAGGAAAACACCAGGTCTTCAGCACACCCAGCTCTCAATCTCCAAACTTCAAAAACCTAAACCTCCAACAGATGGATCCAGAACATCATAAATCCCCAGAGATGGTTCTCTCTAGGCAGAGAGTGGACCGGGCGATGCAGCTGCAGTGGGAACGTGGCTCCGTGTCTTGCCTTAGAGAAGGGTTAGAGAAAGAAGATAAATGAACACAACCGCCCGATTCTGGAAATCACTCACTGCTCTTCTTCCTTTAAGTCACAGATCAAATCCAGACCAGATGCCTCGCTTTAAAAAGAATAAGCAAGGGAAGAAAAAAAAAGTTACTGTCTATGAAATAAATTGGAAACTTGTTTCTGATGGTCTAATCCTAATCTCATTTAAATCAACTGGTGTTTTCCCAGTAGCAGGATTAGGCTCATGGGAAAGTGGAATTCTCTCCACAAAATCGGTAGGCTTTGGACCAGGGCTTCGGCAAGCAGTTGCCCCATTGCCGAGTTGCTTCCAAGCCGGGCGACTCCAAGGTCTGCAGGACCAGCCTGGCTGCTGCCCCGAGGTGAGACTTCGAGCGGTTACAGACAGCCCAACGGCAGGACAACAGCCGACGCCAAAAGACCGTCTCTCCCCGGAGCCTGCAGATGAGAGCGTCTGCGATAAACAGCCCAAACTGCCCTCAGCGCATCTCTTATTTAGAGTGAGGTATTGCAGTCACAGCAATGGGAAGCGTCTTTTGACATTGTATATGTCTATACACCAGTGCTTCTGTAAACCTCCTAAAGGAAGTTAAGGTGCTGCCTAGAAAGTTAAAAGCTAAATCGGGCCTAAACTTCCGCTATTTAGTAGTCAAGGATTAGTTTTTCTTGCGGGTGTTTCAGTGTTGGTGGTCACTGCGTTGGTGTATTGCATTTTTAACTTGGACCACGGTATCTTGCTGTATAGGATTCATATATTAAATATTATGTGGGGATTGTTTCTGTTTGGTTTTGGTTTTTAAACACAATAACAGGATTTCTGTTGCTAGGCTCAACATCAGCTTCACTGTTTGTACATTTTTATGTAAATAGTTGTCACAAGCGGAAGAAGAATTATTTATTTCCATCTCTGAATTCCTTTTCAATCACATCCAGGAAAAATGATTCTCGGTTCCTAAACACATTTGTTTCCTTATTTAAGAAGATATTTATTAACAGTTGGCAAAAATGCATACACGTTTCTGGTTGTTTTCAGAGAGCAGTTGTCAGAAGCCTTTTGTACAAACTAGTAAAATAAATCATTGCAACTTTACAAAAGATATCCCAACAACACTGTGTATCCGTGTGGTTATTCGCCCTATATTCAAAGGATCTTTTTGGCTGGGCAATATTTCATCTTGAGTCTCTGTTTTCGTGTAGATCAGTCTCTATGTACAGGCAAAATCAGCACATGTCGCTATTTGGTGCAACTCTTCAGTCCAAACACAACAGAGAGGGAAGAATACAAAAAAATATGAATATGTTTTGCAGACTGCACTGCAAAGATCCATGATTGAATTATAGTGCAGCTGTCAGCAGCTGTTTCAAAGAAGCAGGGGGTAAATTAGTTCTGTTTACTGCTAACATAGTTCAGAGATTTAGTCATCCCAATAAAATTATAGAGGCACAAGAAAGGAAAAAAGAAACTCCAAAGGAACATCAGCCAAGAAGCTGACATTTTCTAATTTGGATTGTTTTAGCATATTTCAGAGATGCTGCTGGCATGAGGTTTCCTACTGTGGATACCACACCGCATTGCTATGGAGGCAGCCGAAAAAAATAATGGTCTAAATCCTTGGGTTAACTAAACACTATATCTTCAGGGCATAACAGCATTTTTTGAGTCCTTGTTTACTTTGAACTGTGAGCAGAGTTGTGCCAGTTTATGTAGATGTATTTGCTGATCCAGAGGCTTAAATCATCAGCATTTTGGAGTTAACTGCCATCTTTCACAAGCTATTACAAATTCATAAATAAACGTGGTTTGTGATCTGAAGTCCAGCAAAGCATCAGTGGAAAGACCTTTATCGACCTAAACTCAGGTTTTGTATGCTTAGACTAATTTTAGGAGGAGGACCTTCTGATATTTCTCCGTGTGGTCCCAATTCTCTGCATTTAGACCCGGTGTAAGTCAGAGGTGATTCCAGCAAGGGATGGAAAATTAAGAAAAACACAACCAAGCCACCCACAACGAAACAAAAAACTAAACAAAAACCCCAACCAACCAAGAAAAACAAACCAGAAAAATTATTTTGCTTTACAGTGCCAGTCTTGCAGCCAACAGAAGCTTTACCACTAACTTCAACACATCCAGCCTTATATCATGAAATATCGATTGGTTTCCAGCTCTGCTACAAACACACAACTTGCTGGATATGCTTCGTAGCAGTTTTCCCAGCCCGGGAGCCAAAACTCCGTTCCCGAGCTGGTTGCAGCCTCCCCTCGGTCCGCAGAGCTACTGTGGCTTTGTCTCCTCATCTACTGTTCTGGAAGAGTCATTCGTGACCTGGATACGAACGCTGCCATAAACTGGCAGGGCCATAAAACTCGAGCGAACCAGCTTGGAAACGGCTAGATTTATCTGAGTAATGACATTTTAAAGCACATTGAAAACATTTTATAGATCAGTTATTTTAACTTCCTTTCAGGCCAGACTTTGAGGATGTTATGTTTGCTTAATTGAGCTGTTTGAGATCTGTTCCAGTACTGACAATAGGATCCTTTTGTCCCTACGCAGGAAACTTCCTCCGTTGCTGCCAATGTTCGTCTAATAAAAGATAATGATTAAAGTAAACCTCAGTGTAATTTTAAGATTTCTGATTTTTATGGAAGTGTCAGCTGTAAAGCCTAAAACCAGAGAGGGAGAGCAGAGCTCGCACCAGCACGGCTCAGCAGCGGGGCCAAGGACCGCGGGATTTCCTCTGCTGCCCCATTCAGTCCTTTCAGCTCTGCCTGCGACAGGAACAGATGCTTTCTGGATAAGTAAAACCAAAAAAACCTCATCTTCAGAGTTTTTAGATCCTCTATTTTTCCATCCAAATACCCTGCTTGCTGACTTCCATTGCTGCCACAAACACATTATTCTCTGTATTCAGCCGTTCCTTTGGAGAGAAGTTTTGCCCAATTAAGCTAAAAGGAGCCTGTTTGATGTTTTCATTTATCAGGTAATGATTGACAAGACCTTGAGGCAAAAACCAGGAGCATTTTATACCACAGTCATTCATTACCCCAAGTACAAAAGCAACACAAATGGGTTATTATGGCCACTTTGAGTTACTCTGTTTTAAATAAAAAAAAAAATCTATTCTCTTTTTCTGCTTAATGCAGTAGAATTTTTATTCCTAAACTGGCAGCTAAGAAAGATCAGAAGTTTTGGATAACACATGTTTAATGCATCAATTTGTTTCCTAGCATGCACACTGGTTTTCCTAGGCTCTGTTTGCTGACCAGGCAGTAGGAGCAGACTTTTTTTTTATTTTAATATTTTGAGAGTTATTTTGATATGGTGAGGTTTGCCACTTTGGGACAAATCTGCTGTTTTCTCCAATTAATAGAATCCCGATGTTTGAATTAATTCAATAAATGAAGACAGCACAATCTTTAGACAGCTTGAGTTTCATTTTAAAGGAAAACAGGACAAGTCATAGCCAGATTCATCAACTTCACTTTGTTTTTTTCCCTATCAGGGAGAAGCACTGGATGAAACTGGGGGAGAAAAGGGGGCCACAGTCCCACAAACCCTTGGAAAGGTGGCTTTGCACTTGCAGGCACGGTTAAACATTTAACTGTTTGCAGGATAAGGCTCTACATGGGGCTGCTTGAATTAACCTCACCCTCAAAGAATTGGCTTGCTTGTCTGCAATAAAACCCAATCCCAGGCCAGTCAGCAGTAATTTGGGGAACGGAGCATTTGTGTCTGGAACTGGGAGGGGGTGAGTAGCTGTATTCACTGCAACGTCCATGGGCTTGCCCGTAATTAAAAACATGCACTTACCCTTTCTGAAGGGGAAGCTGCAGCAGCTCCCGAGTTAGCTGCGCTGCTGCTAACTTTGGGC